TTGGGATTATTACCTTGTCAAACCATCACTAATAATTAATAATTTTTTTAACCTCAGCCATGTGTCAATTGGATTGGGTGGCGTGACGAATATGGTCGACAAATGCCTCCTGAGAATGACAGAGACAATGTTCGTCATTTTGAGGCGCGTTTGATTGACATAGAACAGACTCTGCGTGTACTTAAAGTTGTGACATGTTTTTTGTCCATCATCATCGTTATTTTGTTGTTCCGTATGTAATATATGTATCTGTGTTTAGATGGTTACCGTACTATGCTGTTCGTATGTAATATATGTATCCGTGTTTAGATGGTTACTGTACTATGCTGTTTGTATGTAATATGTGTATCTGTGTTTAGATGGTTACCGTACTATGCTGTCCGTATGTAATATATGTATCCGTGTTTATATGGTTACCGTTCTATGCTTTCCGTATGTAATATATTACTTATCATATGTGTTCCCTATGTTTAGTGTTGTTTGCGAAGTTGTGGTTTTTGAATTCTATGTTCGTAAATGTGTGCACGGCAATCCCGTTCCAAAACAAAATAATTGTACAACTTGCGAGCATCAACATCTTGCGTTTCTTTTGTGATTTTAATAATGTGATACGTAATAACAAACATAATAATATATGGTTCACATCTTTGCTACATGTAGACACCCCATTTTTGACCGTCCTCAAGACTTGGACGTCATCGTTTGAACACTTGATGATCATCCCTATTCGTGTTCGTTTTGTGTCCCCGGAAGTCTCGGCCGCATGCCTTGCCTCAAGATCTCCCGACTTATCTGTTTTGTGCTTGGTCATGGACCAAACACTTGTGTTTTTGCTTCTAAAGGAAGAGGGTGGCTTGTTGACCATTTTCTCAACCCATCGGCCAGGGCCTGAGGCCATCGGCCCCTTTTTCTTTCCATCGGCTAAGTGTGTTGGCCGATCGGCACTTTAGTTGGTTGGTCGGTCATTTATTTGGTCGGTCGACCACATTTTCTGGCCGAGGCTTTTTCTTCGCCTTTTTCAGGCATTGTGCATGCCAGCTGTGCCAGCTGGTGAGCACAGACTCTACCTTCCATACACGTGTATGGAGGGATTTGAGCCTTTTTTAGTTTCCCTTGGAAGCTTTGTAAAGTTATTTTTCTATAAAAGGAGAGCCTTCACTCTCTTTCCAGAGGTTGATTCATCTGATATAGAAGTTGGATACATCTCTCTCTCTATATCTCCCCATCTCTCTAGTTGTGTGTGTAATAGTGTTCAAAAGTGTGTTTTTGTTCTTATTTTTGCACTAAGGCACCTAGTGTTACACTATACTTTGGTTACTGAGGTGTTGAGGGTTTAATTTCAGAGTTTTTGAGTTGGTTTTGATTAGAAGGAGGTGCTGGAGTTGGTGTTCTTGAAGTGTTCTTCAAGGGTGAGAACTACCTCTTTTATTCCCCCATTTTGCCTTAAGCTTTTAACCTATCTTGCATGCTGTTTTAAGCTTAGTGTATAACTGATAAAATTTCTGTATTTTCATGCTTAAGATGTTTCATTAAGTTCACTTTTGGGTTGGGGATTGTTTACCCCCTCTTAGGCCTTGTTTGGCCTCTTTTTGTGCCTTCCTCTTTAGGCTTTGTAACCCTTTTGTTTTGGCCTTCTCACCACTGAAATCTAGAGCATTTTCAGTGGTAGAGAATTGGTTTTGAGGTCTTATATAGGGGGGGGGGGACACCCTTCTCCCCTTATGTTCTATTTGCTTGCATTGTTGACTTGTAAAGGTAGCATGTTGGCTTAATGTGTTTTAGCTTCATTTCACCAGGTATTTGGTGTTAGTTTATCATGTTATACCTCTGTTTCATGTTGGTTCTTTGGCTTATTGCATGCATCATACACTTGCCTTGCAATCCTCTCATTTGACTAAACATGTATCATACATTTAGACCGTCATGCTTGCATGTTTTGGCTTGACTTCATCATATCCATGTTGCGACATGTCTAAGCTCTGTTTGGTGTCGATTTGGTCATGTTTGCCATGTTTTGTATAGCCACCATGCATTTTAGCTTGTTAGCTTTGGGTGTGTGAGTCATGAGCATACTTTACTTGGGCTATTTCAGTGGTTTGGAATCACTTATCATGCTATTTCAGTCCATGTTCTATGCTTAGTGCTTGCATTTGCCATTCTCTCAATGCTTTGAAGAGTTGTTGTCTCATGCTCCATGTTTGGGCCATTGTGCATACCTCTAGACTTAGGTCATTTAGATGCCATCTAAGTGGGTATTCGGGCTTATCTTGACATACTATAGCTCTATTTTTCATTGCATAACCCATGCCTTGTTTGGTTGAGGTAGTTGTAGTAGAATGCTCTCTTTGTGGCCTTGAATGCCCCCATATTTTGCGCCCATTCCTTAGCATTTTTGGCCTTGTTCCATGCATGCTCTAGCCTTATTTTAATCTACCCTAAGACTGTTTTAAGTCATCTTGGCTCTTTGGGGCTTGGTTGGTATGGCCATGGTTTGAACCCCTTTGTTAGTCTCAAGTTTCGGGCTTTATTGCGTGCCCTACTTGCATGGCATGGCTGATTTGGCATCATCCTTTGCACATTTTCAGAGCTTATCATACTTGTCAAATGTCCATATTTGTCTCTTCTTAATGTGTCTAAGAGTCGACTCTTTTTATGCCTAAGTGTTGGACCTTTACATGTGCACGTTTGAGTGTGTTTTGTCCATCATTTCTTGGCACTTTGGTCACTGTTTTGGTATGGTTGAGGCCGACCCATCCTTAGTGTAATTCCATAGATCATGCACTCGTGTATTGTTGTAGGCTTACCGCATTGCATGTTGTCGCATCCTTGTAGTTAGTGTCATTGTTGCATGCCTATCACTCGATATACTTACATACCTAGGTTGCATTGTAGTATTACATATTTATTGCATTACCATGTTGCTTGCGTTTTAAGTTGCATTGTTCATGTTGCATTGCATTTGGCATACATACATTGCATTGTTGTTTGGTTTGGGGTGTCAAACCAAACATGAGGATCAAGGGACGTTTCGTACTTAAAGTGACGAAACGTGCCTCAATCATCAGTCGCCGACACTCTTGACCCAACATGATAGAGTGTGTAGCATTCATTTGTTTGTTGCATTCATTCCATATTGATATGCACCTTTGACACCTTTGGCCATCATGCATCGAAATGCGTGATTGGTGGCCCGAGGGTCGAGAGCCATACTCCCTTAAGTTCATAGCATGATAGGGAGGGTGGTCGTGCATGCATTTGGCATGCAAATTCCATGCCATGCACTGTCTGTCCTCTGTTGCAGCAAAACCAGTGTTCTGCAAGAAGAAATAGCCGGTCGGCCACTTTCAGTGCCAGCCGACTACCAATATCCAATCGATGGCCCCATCTTTGGTCGATGACCATCCTTCCATTGCCGATAGCCCTGTCTCTTGGTCGGTGACCTCCCACAGTGCTCAGGGAGTGGTTCAGAAGCAGCCTTGGGACTTGTGCAGCTTTCAGAGGCATGAAACAGTGCAAACAGAGGCAACAGTTGGCATGGCAACAGGTTTCCAAGCAAGGCGAATCGAGCATACATCATCCAATCATTTCGAGGCGGAGCTGAGGTAGCCTCTTTTATTTCATACTTAGATTGTTTTGAAATTAATTTGTTAATTAATTAAGGATTTTGTAATATTTAATTAGATAGGGCAGTTGATTAATTATTCGGTCTGTATTATTTATTCGGACCCTCCGCGAGAGGGCGAACTTTGTAATAAGTGTGCTTGTGTGTGATGCATGTTTTCCAACCCCATGTCTTTCTCCCTTTTATTTACCAGCTTATGATGGTTAGTTTTAGGGCATGTTTCAATTAGCATCTATATGATCACATGTTTGCATTCATCCGTATTGCACGCACCGGGCTCGGCGCATCTTACTAATTGCATAGCATTTCAATTCCAACTTGAATACGTGTATCGAGTTGTCACATTTCACATGCCATTCTTAGAATAGCCGAGCCTATTTTAGTTGCATTTTGCATGTGTTGCATTAGCCATCTTAACATGAACTAGGATCATGCATGATTCCTAACTAATTTCTTGTTTTGGCTCGGAGTACTATGTAAGCTTTTATGCTTTAGCATCTTACATGAGTGTGAGTGTTGCCATGATAGCATGCTTACCATGAGGCTATGCGCTTACATGATATAACTGCCTGAATGCCTGTGGGTGAAGGTTGGATTACATGAATTGGATCAATTCATTGAAATCCGTGTTTTAGCCTACTTGCGAGTAACAAAACTCAAACCATTTTCCAAACAAACGGATATGCGATGCTCTGTTCCAAATTAGGCGATCTAGTCTATACTTGTGTGTTGTGCGTATCACATAGTAATTCTAGGTTAATAACCGAAATAAGAGCACATGTGTTTTTCAAAAACAAGATATCATGCTTAGTAGTGGCCGATCTTTGATCGGGCGAGCGGGGATGCTTATGAAATGACCTTCTCCAATCGTACCCAAGTTCCCGAGCCGAGGCAACTTTGGTGATGACGGACACGTGGTCTTAGGCACGAGTCAGGGTTTCCTAAATTCCCCCAAACAAAATATTTTGGTGGCGACTCTGCATCTGGCAAAACAGTCCATGTTTGACACTTCTTTCTAAAAATCTATTTTTCAAAATAATTTTTCGGATTTGAACTCTTTGGTGATTTATCGGTCTCGCATTGCACCTTGCGGGATTAGATTCAGAACCGTGACATTTGAGTCCGAACTATAGTAATCCCAATGAACAAAACGGGATTTCTCCTGGGACGTTCGGGGACGTCTACACTAATGCACTGCAATTTACATAAATTATAATGTACTTATAGTCGCATGGCCTCAACTCGATCCGGCTCTCGTACCCCTTCTGCCAAAAGGAAGGGCCCAAAACCTCATCACAAAGCAAATTGAGATTGAAAGAACACACGTATCTTTCTGGAACTTGTTGTTAAGGAAATAGACGCAGGTAACAAGCCGCACATGTTAATCACTCAGAATGGGTACGGGTCTTTGTCTAAGACTTATGAGGCAGCAACTGGATTGACGCATACCATGAAACAACTTAAAAATAGTTACAATCAACTTAAGGCGGAGCGACGTGCATGGTCGAAGCTAATGGATAGCCGCAACGGCCCCACTAGAATTGGGTTTGACCAAGAGACAAGGTTGATCAATGCGTCGGATGAATGGTGGGCTAGAATGGAGAAGGTAACGATTTTAACTTATGTTTACATAATTTTGTTAGGCGTCAAACGAGACAACTATGCCATAAACAGATGTTAAACTCCATAAACATGTTACAGCATTTACGTATACTTTTCATGCCTACAATATTGAAATAAATAGGAAACATGCCATGACAATTCTAACATATTTTGGTTTTTTTTTTTTTTTTCCTATCAGCACATAGACTGTTCATGCTTATACTGTTCATTACTCTTGTGCATACTCTATGTACATAAGTTATTCATTTCGCTAATTGTATACTCGCATTCTATTGTATTACAGGTTGATAAAGAAAGTTGCAAGTTCAGAACAAAGCGGTTGGATCATGAGGAGTTGATGCGTCGCGTATTCACTGGGGCTGCGGTAACGGGTAAAAATGCTTGGACGCCTGGCGAGACGCGAAACCAGTTGGAGGTGGAAGGGGAGTCCGACAGTGCTGACTTTTCTACAGACAGCAATGAATTGGGAGCAGCTAAAATGCCTAACTTAATGAAATCCGCAACCATTAACGCATCAGGTAGTGGCAGCAAAAGGAGGCACTCATCCGTCACAGTCGTGCAAAAAAAGCGAATCACCGGGGCAGAAGCATTGGCAACAAGCATGGATGATTTGGTCAATTCGGTGAAGACCCAAAGAAAGGAACTCACTGTAAACCATGTTGTCGGTGGACATAGTGTCACTATGGCCGAAGCAATTGGACGTCTTTATGAAATTCAAGGACTTGACCAAACTAATCCACTGCTTCATTTCGGAATTTCGCTTATGGAGGTGCCCAATAATGGGGAGATGGTGATGAGTATTCCTTCGGATGAAGGCACTATCAGCTGGCTCCAGGTGAAGCAACATGACAAAGAGAGAACGACAAATGTTCTAACTCTTGCAAGCATATTGCGCAATGACGGACTTCATTTCTAAATATGTTGTTTTTGTATTTCTTGAAGACCTACTTTTTTAACTATGCTTTCTGTTCGACTTGTTGTTTGTAAATATGTTGGTTTTCTATTTGGTAAGGACCTGCTTTTTTAACTATGCTTTGTTTGGACCATGTTGTAAGGAGAATTGCTAGGGAGAAGGTTATGCATGTGCAAGGTTTGTCTGGTTTTAAATTTATGGATGTGCATTGCTTGAGTTTGGCTATGCTTGGATTTGAAAATTTTAAATTTGAATAAACCATGAATCTGATCAAACTCTTCCAATTTGCAGCTTCATAGTTATGTAAACAGTGGTTATAAATTTGCTATACCCGACAATTTGAACAAAAGAGTTGCTATTTGTAGAGAGAGCATTGAAGTTCACTGAAGGCTTCAGGTGAAAAGTGTAAGCTAGACCCTTTGTAAGGTAGTAAAAACAAAAAATAAGATTTGAAGTTCTTATTTCTGTATATTTTATTTGAACATTGTTGTTTGTGTATTTCATTGGTATTTGTATATTTTATTATTCAGAAAAAAAAAAGATTACTACAAGTTCGACCCTTTGTAAAGTAGAAAAAAATATATATATATGATGTGTTAACGTATCAAGGAAAGTGCAATTTATATATTTACGATTTCACCATTGCTAATAGAACATAAGGTATACAATAGAAGCTCTCATTTGGTGTCAAACGAACTGTAATTGATTCTTTATACATAATATTTCATTTATTGATAGCCTATAGTTGTGACTGATGTTTAATGTTGCCATGTTTAATTTTTCCAAAGTAGTAGTCCATGTTATGCTTCCCATTTAATTTGAAGTTATGTGATTTAGGCATGGAAAGCGACGATGACAGCGATGCATGGATGGAGGAAATGTGTCATGATGTCGCTGCGCTCGCAATCGAGTGGCAGGCTAAAATAAATAATAATTATGTTGAAGCGTACAAAATAGCCTCGGACTACTACAGGGCACACGTGCTTAAAATCCCATGTCGCACGTCCTTCTTGACGGGGAGGGCATGGATATCGGAAATGTATAATGGGCACAGTGGCAGATTTCGCTATGAACTGTGCATGCCGAAACATGTTTTTACACGTTTATGTGCCACACTAGTGAACGACTTCGGGTTGCATGTACCTGAGTGGGACCACGGCTTGCATGTTGAGGAGAGTGTTGCAATCTTCATTCATGTTCTCAAAAACTTGCCTAACCAAGAGCTCCAAGAAAGATTCCAACACTCCGGTGAAACAATATCATGGCATTTTCATAATGTTTTGAAAGCAATGAAAAAGTTCACCGTCGCGCACTGTCAGTCGCCTACAGATTTCCAAAATATGAGGGATCCCCACCTGTAGACCCAACCACAGTATTTGCCATTTATGGTGCGCAAAATTTTTTTTCAAATCAATTTGCATGGTCAAATTCTACAAACATGTGAGTTAAAAAATGCAAGGCTATAATGCATAAGTTGATGCTACTATTTGGTTGCCTACTTGTTCAAATTGTGTAGGATTGTTTAGGTGCCTTGGATGGGACACACGTGCCAGCGTGCATAAGGGAGTCAGAAGTAGCCCGATATTTTAGCCGAAAGGGTTGCCACACTCAAAATATTCTGGCAGTGTGTGATTTCAATATGTGTTTCGTCTTTGTGTCATGCGGTTGGAAGGGTAGCATGCATGATAGCCGGATTTTAAACATTGTCACCGAAGATCCACAATATAATTTTCCAACTGCAGTGGATGGTACGTACGCATAGAACATTTTATGTGCACACATTGGTACACCCTTCTGCATCTGTAATGTACATTTGAATTGTCCAAAAATTAATTTCGTGGCATAACATATGCGCATTTCCGTATACGTAACGAATGTCTTGTGTACCTCAGTAAACTCGTAAAAAAAAAAAAAACATGTAACAATTGCAACAATATAAAGACCTCGCTTATGACTTTTATACATAGTTGTTAATTTTTTCAATGCCATAATATGTTCAATTTCTTTGCCCACACATGAAAGCAATATGTATTAACATGTACACATTGATAGGTCGCTATTATCTGGTGGATAGTGGATATAGTAATAAGAAGGGATTTCTTGCACCATATAAGGACAGCCACTACCACCAACCACACTTTCAACGTCACAAGCCGAGGAATCATGATGAGTTGTTCAACCATGCCCACTCTTCCTTGCGGAGTGTGATTGAGCGAACATTTGGCGCTTGGAAGTCGCGGTGGAGATTCTTGCACAACATGTCCCAGTTTGATTTTCGTAGAGTGCAGGTGCCGTTGGTGGCTGCATCTATGGCATTACATAATTTCATACGCCGAAACTGCGAGGATGATGCGTTAGTTGTTGCTGTCAGAAATGCGGTGGAGTACACATATGACGATATTCCCGATTGCGCAGATTTGGCTGCCCTAGACGATGCCGTCATGCCTACGGACGAGGACGTTGAAATGGCGCAGGTGCGTCATCGGATAAGGGCAGAGTTATACCAAATTCGGCGAAATGGTAGGTAATCGGACAAGGTTGTTTAGTATGACTGCTTATAAATGTTTTTCGTAATATGTGTTTTGGGAAATGTAGTTGTAAGTTCTTGGTTTCTAAGGATTTATGCATACCCTACTAAGCTGTTTACATATTTTAAGCTGACTTACAACATCCACAAACGTGTTATGCAATTGTCGTATTTTGCATTCGTGTATGGTTAATTCAAATTTTATATTTTATGGATTGTCGTAAAGAATTTCTTCATACATATTACTTACATTAACTGTGTTCAGATGTAATTAACAATTACAGCTTGGCTAACAATTTTACTGTTGTCCAGGTAGGTGACTCAAATATAAAACAGGAATTCAAGTGCACCTAATTTTTTCACCAACTTGGCTCAGTTCAGGGAGGCTTTTCTTTTCTTTTTGTTTTGTTTTGTTTGTTTTTGTTATCAATTGGGTAATACTCTCCAACTACAATTAGATAATACTCGTGTACTTTTTTTTGTTTTTTTGGCCATTTGTGTATAGTTCGTAGTAGTGTCCAACTAGATCACGTAAAGAACATGACCCAACATTTTTTTGAACCAACTAAAACAAACAAATCAGTATTGCACAAATAAAATAAATAAGCTAGTTGTATTTGAAAATGTAAACAAAATAACTTGCAATATTGCCCAATTGAATATAATTTCAATTTTCTTATACAAGTTTCATCCATAACACCACAAACATTACACAAAAAGGTGAATTTTATTCATTACGAACTTTTTTTTAAAAAAAATGTTATGGGCACCAAATAAACTACCATGTGTGTGGACCTTACACCTATGTGGAAGTTTTCACTAACAAATTGATAATTTATTTTAAGTCCATACCATAACTCAAGATTTTTTTGGGGACGAAAGAGTATGGGTTTGTTTGGTTTGTTTTTGGGAGATAAATTTTAATTTTTTTTTGGGAAATCGTTTACAAATTTGTTTGATTTGTTTGGTTGTATATTTTGGAAATAGTTTTAGAGTGTGGGAATTTAAACAGATTTGATATTTTCTTGTAGTTGTGTAGATATGTGTGAGAGAAAAAAGTGATTCAGAAGAAGAGAGGAGAAATAAAAAGTGCTCGTCCTTGATGTGTAGAAGATAAAAAATGATTTTGAATTTTTTTTTTTCAAAATCACTAAACGAAATAAAATTTGTAAAAATTTTCTCCAAATTTTTTTTTCCAAAAAGAAACCAAACAAGGCCAACATATTGTTGCATATGTTTTGGAGTGAAAATCCAGAAAGTAAAAAACAAAATAAAAAAAATTAATAAAACATCAGAACACAAAAATGGTCCAGAATAGTGATTTTTGAATATTGCCACGTGTTGTAGTATACATGCCATTTGACATTAGTCAACAACTCCACAGTAGTTCTAAATTCCTTTAAAAACAAAAAAACAAAATTCCAAAATTCTGAACACCCCTCCCACGTTACTCAGCACGTCTGCACTGCAACATTGACTCTCACACATTTCGAGTTTCGTGAAGGGCAAAATTGTAAAGTTTCTAACTATCCTTTTTTTTTTTTATTATTTCTTTACACATTTTTTCATAAAAAGCCAAAAAGTTCATACCAAACATATTAGTTTTTTTTTAGCTCATATTTTAGCCAAATAGCTAAAAAGTTACTAAATTAGCCTGTTCCCAAACGAGGCCTAAGACCGGTAGAGATCTCAAAGATCCTAACTAATTACAACATATAGATAAAAATGATCATGAATCATGACATACCATATAAATAGTGTGACATTTAATATCCAAAATATAATCGTGTAACTGTGTTTTTCTCAAGAGGTTCATCTTGACACAATTCAGTATAAAATGATTTCTTCTCTTTCACATTCCTATCATTACATCCAAAAGAAAATATTTTAAAACCTCATTGTTTCTTTGATAAAAATTCTCACGTTAACATAAAGGAATCTCACTTAAGAAACCGTTCTAAAAATAAAACCCCACATGCAAATCATAATCCCCATCCTACCTCTCAATACACCATAAGCAATAAGAACCCAATATATATATATATATATACATATACATATATCTAAAACCTTCCCTGACCATAAGCCTAAGGATCTAAAAAGATGAGCAGTATGAAAACCGTTAACACATTTAAACATTCAAATGAGATAACTGAAGTAATACATACTACCAATCTCATCTCCACAACATGAAAATTGACAACGCATATATATATATATATCCAAAATGAAATAACTAAAGTAATACATACTACCAAACTTATCTCCACCACCCTACAGCACGGATGATAGATCCAATAATACTAATAACATAACACTTTACCGCCCGCACCCGGTAAGGGGCGCCCCTCAGGTTATAGTTTATCGGGTGCAAACCGGAAGGAAACGAAGAAGCTATCACAACACGCCACGCTTTGTCAGCTAAGATATGGCTGGAAGTGGTCCCCCATTTACACTTTACCGGGCGCAAACTGGA